CCTCGCCTCCCTCCTGCCCTCCTTCCCCGGGGCCCTCCGGCAGGAGGCCGCCGTATCCTCTAGGTGAAATAGCGAGGGTTGGACCCAGTCTCTGCTTCTCTGTGATGGACTCGGGCTCGGGCCTGCGGGGTGGGGTGTGTGGAGGGTAGAGCGCCCAGGTCCTGGCGGAGTGACGCCCCGCCTTCTCCGTGAGCGCCTCTGGGGACCGGCCCTGGTTTAGGTCTTGGGGAGGCGGGACCGTTTTGGGGGTTAGGTGGGCCGGGGGAAGGGATATTGGGGGCCGACTGGAGAAAGACAAGGAGATGTGGGACAGACCCCAGTGGCCATGGGGGAAGGAGTGCTCCAATGGGAGGGAGGGTGGATGGGAGGAGATGAGGCTGGAAATGAGGTGGAGGGAGGGGTGGGGGCCCCAGCCTCGGGGAAGGAGGCCAGGAGGGAGGCGAGGGCGGTGACAGCTGCCGCGGGCGGGCCGCTCGGAGTGCGGAGCGGAAGGGCCGTGATGCCTCCTGGGAGCACTGACCGCTGGTGGCCTGCACGCCCCTCCCTCCGCAGGGCTCTGTCCTGAGGCACCTCCACAGCTTGATTCATCCCGGTGGCCACCTGCACCCCCGCCTTTACCCACCCGATCAGCTCGGCTTGTGCCCGCTCAGGCAGGGACTCCGTGTATCCGGGGGAGCCGCTCGCTGCGCTAGGGCTGCCCTGGCTGTTGGTCTTCATATGCAGAGCATTTCCTCTGCTCTCTAGAGCACGCGCTCCCCCACCTCCTGCCTCCGCTTCCCAAGGACATCAGCCGTCAGTCGCATTATATTTTCCCCTTGAGAAACCTCATTTGGTTTTTGAACAGCCCAGGGAGCCCCTGTGGAATCGGCATCCCTGAGGTCGGGCCAGGAGCCCAGGTTTGAAAGAGCCTCCGGGTCCCCCACTCATGCTCAAGGGTGGGACTTTCTGCACCGCAGGCCCCTTTCCGGAGGCAGGCAGTTCCCAGCTCGCCCCTACTTCCTGCTCTTCCCGGACTGTGACCGCAGTAGATGCCTTTCACCTCCCGCAGGTCTGCAGCCTCTGCCCACATGGGTCCCTTGCTCGGTGAGATGTTCTGGCAGGGTCCCCTCTTAGGGTCTCAGGGACTTTGGACTTTGCCCTGGAGCACACCAAGTCCAAGCTGGCGATGCCAGTGGAGGAGAGGGAGGAATGGAATATAGTGGACTTTGCAGACAACTAGAGCCGGCAGGATTTGGGCTTTCCACTTTGGAGTCTTCCTCCAACCACTGCCTGGTCTCTCCTCCCTTAGAGGAGATGCAGGCCACATGCCTCTGAGGGACAATCTTGAGCCAAGGGAGGAGTCTCCCCAACCCTGGAGACCACTTTGGGTACAGCTAGGAGTGCAGTCAGGGGTGGGGCATCCTTTCCAATCAGATTCAGCTGGAGTTAAACTCCACCCACACCTGCTTCCCTCAGGAGCTCTGTGGCTCCCTGCTAGGCATGGGGGGCGGGGGGGCCCATCTCGCCCAGTTCAAGGGCTCACCCTCGCCTCCCTCCTGCCCTCCTTCCCCGGGGCCCTCCGGCAGGAGGCCGCCGTATCCTCTAGGTGAAATAGCGAGGGTTGGACCCAGTCTCTGCTTCTCTGTGATGGACTCGGGCTCGGGCCTGCGGGGTGGGGTGTGTGGAGGGTAGAGCGCCCAGGTCCTGGCGGAGTGACGCCCCGCCTTCTCCGTGAGCGCCTCTGGGGACCGGCCCTGGTTTAGGTCTTGGGGAGGCGGGACCGTTTTGGGGGTTAGGTGGGCCGGGGGAAGGGATATTGGGGGCCGACTGGAGAAAGACAAGGAGATGTGGGACAGACCCCAGTGGCCATGGGGGAAGGAGTGCTCCAATGGGAGGGAGGGTGGATGGGAGGAGATGAGGCTGGAAATGAGGTGGAGGGAGGGGTGGGGGCCCCAGCCTCGGGGAAGGAGGCCAGGAGGGAGGCGAGGGCGGTGACAGCTGCCGCGGGCGGGCCGCTCGGAGTGCGGAGCGGAAGGGCCGTGATGCCTCCTGGGAGCACTGACCGCTGGTGGCCTGCACGCCCCTCCCTCCGCAGGGCTCTGTCCTGAGGCACCTCCACAGCTTGATTCATCCCGGTGGCCACCTGCACCCCCGCCTTTACCCACCCGATCAGCTCGGCTTGTGCCCGCTCAGGCAGGGACTCCGTGTATCCGGGGGAGCCGCTCGCTGCGCTAGGGCTGCCCTGGCTGTTGGTCTTCATATGCAGAGCATTTCCTCTGCTCTCTAGAGCACGCGCTCCCCCACCTCCTGCCTCCGCTTCCCAAGGACATCAGCCGTCAGTCGCATTATATTTTCCCCTTGAGAAACCTCATTTGGTTTTTGAACAGCCCAGGGAGCCCCTGTGGAATCGGCATCCCTGAGGTCGGGCCAGGAGCCCAGGTTTGAAAGAGCCTCCGGGTCCCCCACTCATGCTCAAGGGTGGGACTTTCTGCACCGCAGGCCCCTTTCCGGAGGCAGGCAGTTCCCAGCTCGCCCCTACTTCCTGCTCTTCCCGGACTGTGACCGCAGTAGATGCCTTTCACCTCCCGCAGGTCTGCAGCCTCTGCCCACATGGGTCCCTTGCTCGGTGAGATGTTCTGGCAGGGTCCCCTCTTAGGGTCTCAGGGACTTTGGACTTTGCCCTGGAGCACACCAAGTCCAAGCTGGCGATGCCAGTGGAGGAGAGGGAGGAATGGAATATAGTGGACTTTGCAGACAACTAGAGCCGGCAGGATTTGGGCTTTCCACTTTGGAGTCTTCCTCCAACCACTGCCTGGTCTCTCCTCCCTTAGAGGAGATGCAGGCCACATGCCTCTGAGGGACAATCTTGAGCCAAGGGAGGAGTCTCCCCAACCCTGGAGACCACTTTGGGTACAGCTAGGAGTGCAGTCAGGGGTGGGGCATCCTTTCCAATCAGATTCAGCTGGAGTTAAACTCCACCCACACCTGCTTCCCTCAGGAGCTCTGTGGCTCCCTGCTAGGCATGGGGGGCGGGGGGGCCCATCTCGCCCAGTTCAAGGGCTCACCTGGACTCCTCACTCCCCTCAACCAGGAATCTTTGGATTCACTCGTCGTCCTCAAAGAGAGCTGAGAGCTGAGCTCCTTCCGGTGGGGTGACGTCCCTCGGCCGTGGGATGTATCTGAAAATCAGCTGTGCCTCCAACGAGTCTATCTCATCCAGAACATCTTTACTCTAGCCTCGCAGAGGTGGAAGCCTGCTGGAGGACCTACCTGGCCTTTGGGGAAAATTCCAACTGTATTCAGAGCCTCCCCAACCCCTGAATACTTTTAGGCAGGACTCTTTTGGGCTGGGCTCAGTCCCACCAATCCTCGCTGGGAATTCAACTGGGTCTCACCCACTTGTTAGAAGCCCTGGGCTTCCCCCTCTCTTGTCCCCATAGGCATCTTCTCCATTCCACACAAGGTGAGAATCCCCAGAGGAGATTGGAGAGGTTCTTCTAAGGAAGTGTCTCAACATTCCTTCTCTGGAGGGGAGCCCACAGGACCCGCCTAACTGGAAGAGCCCCTTGGACTTCTTGCCCGAGGCCCATGGGCAGAGACCTTCATTCCCTTTGTGCCAGCGTTCAGGTGAAACGGGTTTTCCCTTGAATGCGCAGGTGAGTGCTATTGTAGGTGGCAGCTGAGGGAAACGAAGGCCCACCATATCCCACCTCACTTTTCTTAGTTAAATCTAAGCTTCTTTAAGGTCTCAGCTCAGGTTGCCACGTCAGGAAAGTGCTGTGGACTTCCTGACACTGAGTTCTCAGTCAGGCTCCTTTGTTTGATGCCCTCAGTGCTGGGCCTTCATAACACTTAGCTCAGTTTGCTGTTGCATCCCTGGCGGCTCTCTTCTGCATACTCTGAGGACAGGGACTGGTCTGTTTCTGCTCCCATGTTGCATTCCCAGCACAAGCTAGAGGGTTTGGCACGTGGAAGAGTCTAATCTTGGTGGCCCGCCTCAGACTTAGTAAAGGCAAGTGGCTAATGTGAGGGAGGATGTTCAGGAAACAGGGTCTGCACGGGGAAGAGGCGTATAGGTGGTATGCATGCAGCTTGGGAGAGGTGGTTTCAAGAGGAAAGGGAGGAGAGAATGAAACCAGAGGTGGTGCTAAGGAAGTAGATTTTGTCCTGAAATCAAAGGACTTCTTTTTAGGATTCTCATCCCTCTCCTGCCTAGACTTGAGTTTTCTAAAAGGTATTTGTTGTCTCAGTGTAGCTAGGTTGAAGTAAGACTAGATACAAGGAGTTCCGAAGCTGGACAGGAGGGTCTCTAGGAGGATCATGAGACCTATGAAGGGAGGGACTGAGGACTTACCAAAGGCCTTATGAGTGAGGGGTTGAATATCTCTTCCAATCCATTTCTCTTCTCCCTATGCTACCTTCACTCCAGAGTTTAGTACTGGAATGTATATAAAAATTATTTAATGACTAAGGCCTATAGAATTAGCTCAAAGTGTTGCTGACAAGGAAACATGGGGGTATAATTATAGGTTCTGTCCATTCTAGTAAGAAGTGGAGGTGTGGCATTAAATCAATTCTGGGAACAGAACTTACAAGAAATCACATGCCTTTTTTTTCTCTTGATAAAGACTCGGTGTTCATCTTAGGCAGAAATCTGAGATCTAACAGTCCCCCTGAAGCAGGTCCTAAGGCATTCTGTTGGGTCTTCCTGGGAGAGGGACTGGGGGATTCCCTAGGCCAGTGATGGCGAACCTATGACACGCGTGTCAGAGGTGACAGGCGAACTCATTTTTTTGGTTGATTTTTCTTTGTTAAATGGCATTTAAATATATAAAATAAATATCAAAAACATAAGTCTTTGTTTTACTATGGTTGCAAATATCAAAAAATTTCTATATGTGACATGGTACCAGAGTTAAGTTAGGGTTTTTTAAAATGCTGACACGCCGAGCTCAAAAGGTTCGCCATCACTGCCCTAGGCCTTGGGTGCTTTAGCTGATGTGCAGAGTCAGAAGCTGTGGAAGTAGGCCTGGTCCAGGAAGGACTATAAGAAATGCAGGGAGAAGGCAAGCTCTTGGCTTTGTTAAAGGATTTAAAGCAGCATTAGGTGGTAGGGAGAAATAAAAGTTGTGACCCAAGGTGCCTTTTCTGATTTTATTACTAGGAAGAGAATTTCATATGAACCAGGGCCAGGAGAATGTGTTGAGATGGAACCTTGAAGCTGGTTAGCTTACCACAAGGTAAGAGGGCTGAAGAGGAGACAGTATTTCCTGCTCACACTTGGGTTTCTCAGCCAAGTCTGCTGAGAAATTCCATCCTTTGCTGTAGGGGGAGAGGGGATTCTGTGTGCCTAGGAAATGGCAGACAAAAAAGGGTTATGTGACCTCCAGGGAGCCTCTTCCAGGCCACATGGATCCCACTTTGTATTTCTGGGCCCATCTTGGTGCCAAGTGGAATTGTCAGCCAGAAGCTTCAGACCAACTCTGGATCCAAGTACATTAGGATGAGGAAAAAAGTCAGGAAGGCCTAAGTTTGAACCTCAGATAGCTGTGGAGGAATGAGAGTTCCTGTGTGTGTTTAATATATTTTTATTAATTTCAGAGAGGAAGGGAGAGGGCGAGAGGGAGAAACATCAATGATGAGAGAAAATCATTGATTGGCTGCCTCCTGCATGCACCCAACTTGGGATGGAGCCCGCAACCTGGCCATGTGCCCTGACTGGGAATTGAACTGTGACCTCCTGGTTCATAGGTGGATGCTCAGCCACTGAGCCATGCAGGCTGGGCAAGCCTTCCTGTTCTTTAATACAAATCCCTGAGATGTCCATTTCCCCCCTTTGGGAGGGGGAGAAAAGTACTAACTTACAGGCCATTTCCTTCCTCTTTGCAGGTCTCCCGATAACGGGAGCCTTGTTACTTCTCCTCCTGTGTTTCTCACATGCAGAAATGAGCCATTTCCCCAAGCACAGAGTTCTTACACCGTACCTCTGAGGACTCTCTGGTTTGTGGGCCAGAACTGTCATTAAAATTGTAATATATGGCCCTAGCCAGTTTTGTTCAGTGGATAGAGCGTCGACCTTTGGACTGAGGGGTCCTGGGTTTGATTCCGGCCGGGGGCACATGCCTGGGTTGCAGGCTCGATCCCCAGTCGGGGGCGTGCAGGAGGCAGCCAATCAATGGTTCTCTCTCATCATTGATGTTTCTCTCTCTCTCCCTTCCTCTCTAAAATCAATAGAAATATATATTTTTTAAAAAGTGTAATATATCACCACCATCATCTCTCATGGTCTCCTTAGCCCTGTTCTTCCCACACCTCTCGCCTTTCTCATTAATACTGTCAGCACAAACTGCTTTCCCTTCTAGGACTCCAAGACCTTCTCACCGTCCTCTGTCAGGAGTTGCTGTGAAATGAGAAAGGGAAGAACTCACTTGCCTGCTTAATACTAGGTTTTGCCCTACACCAGGCACCAAATAAAACCTCATTTATACTTTTCCTGTTTTGAGGACCCAGCCTCCCAGCTGTTTTGGTGAAGGGGTTAATACAATTTTTTTTTAAAGCTAATTTCTACTAAAACCCTGTCATATCCCCTATAAGTGAAACTGGCTCATGGCCATTTTGGTTAGATTTTTTTGAAAATACAAGAAAGCCTTCTTTTAAATATGTTCTCCTTATATGCTTAAAAATATCATCTTACAGCCTTTCTCTCCTGATTGGGTAAATAAATTGTATTTGTTTTTTTGGCTTATTTTCATCTTTCCTTTGGACTTGCTATTACTCTTTAGGGCCCTAGGAAGGAGCAGAATTCAACCTACTTTAGTCATCAGCCAAGTATAACTATTTAAAAAATCAATTAAAATTAAACACAATTGAAAATGTAGTTCCTGAGTTGCACTAGCCACATTTCAAGAGCTCAGAAGTCATATGTAGCTAGTGGGACCTGCTGCATCGGCAGCAGAGATTTAGAACACACCCACCAGTGCAGAAAGTCCTTTTAGATCCAGTACAGAGGACTAGTAAGCCCGCCCCGCCCTCTGTGATCTTATTTTATTAGTCAATACATATTTGTAATAACGTCACTGTTATAGGATAACTTTCAGAGGGGGTCAGGGATTGGGGTGGGAAATAGCAAGGAAATTATAGGTCCTATAAAAGTTTCAGGAGGCATGGCATAGTGGCCAGAGGTTGATGACCAATGGCAGGGGAGTCTTAGCTTTTAAGGAAGTACTTTAGGGGCTGATATTCATATGTACCAACACAGGGCCACCCACACTCTGACAAGAGTAGACAGGCTCTGGTCTCCTGTATTAGGTCTGCATAATACTTAAAAAACAAAAGACTGCCCTGTGGCCTTGCTGAAACTGAGTAGCTAAAGTGATTGCTTTTTACGAATCATTTCTAAATCTTGATTTCATATACTGCTTTGTCACTGTCCTGTTCTCCCAAATGTCAGTGACATAAGCAGCGCTAATGTTTATAAAAGGCTTGCTGCACACCAAGAGCTGGGAGAAGTCTGGGTCCTATCAATTAACCTACTGATGTTGAGACTACATTTAGTAAGGGTCCAGCTAGGTAAGGCTGTTCTTCCACTGAACACTTGAACAACTATGCCAGGCACTGGCTCTAGGGCCTAAGTGAGGCTAGTCTATGGGTATGACCAGTTTCCCTGCATCTAGAACAGTAGTTCTCAACTAGGGGTGATCGTGCACTCCCCTCCCCTGACATCTCATCCTGCAATGTCTGGAGAAATCTGTTGTCACAACTGGTGGAGTGGTGCTACTTACATCTAGTAGGTAGAGTCCAGAGACTCTTAAGTAGCCTACAATGCACAACCTCCCCACCACCAAAAATTAGCTCACTCAAAATGTCAACAGTGCTGAGGTTGAGAAGCCCTGGTCTAGACCATAACATGAACCAGTTCTTCACACCAAGACCAATCACAAGGTCCAGGCTCAGTAGGATAGCAAATATCTGATAAATTGGGAAGGAAAACAATTAGAAGTTGATCGAACGGTAGCTAGTATAACGAGTGTTTTTAACTGCACCAGAAAGCTAAGAGCTAAGGTCATAGTGCGATTGGAGTTGAGGATTTCAGGTATGTAGCAAGTCTATGTGAAAATGAGGTCCCAGGTACAGCCACAGGGGTAGAGAGGAGCAAGTTTAAACAGTCTGACTTTGATACAGTGGTCAATAGCTAAACCTGTAGGGAAGACCCGCAATAAACAGATGAGCTTCTGGTGGATATGGATATATCAGTTTTTCTCAACAACATTTTTGTAACCCACACCTCTACTCATACATCTAAAAATCTTACATTTTCCTTCCAGTGATATTTAAATTTTCAAAATTAAGTATCACAACTAAAATCAATTTAAAAAATGGTAATCTTGGAATGCAAAACTTTATTCAGATGATATGATAACCATGTAACAGTTATACCTTAACTTTTTTTCCTGGGCGGTGTAGAAGATGCAACAAAACGCAAGCTGTTTAACAACATTCTTTCACTGTTTTCTCCCCACAGCTAGATATAGCAAAAAAAGAAAAAAAGAAAAAAGAAGCTTTTACGATGTAAGGAAAAAATGGAATGAAGTATTCTGTTTGGTCGTTTGACATCTAAATTTCTCTAGAGCAGGGGTGGGCAAACTTTTTGACTCGAGGGCCACAATGGGTTCTTAAACTGGACCGGAGGGCCGGAACAAAAGCATGGATGGAGTGTTTGTGTGAACTAATATAAATTCAAAGTAAACATCATTACATAAAAGGGTACGGTCTTTTTTTTTTTTAGTTTTATTCATTTCAAACGGGTCGGATGCGGCCCGCGGGCCGTAGTTTGCCCACGGCTGCTCTAGAGTATCTGGAAGTTGCTAGTAAAAACAATCGGACTTTTGAGTTCCATAAAATCTTTCTGAAGTTCTTCCAGTGAAAACTAAACATCAGTGTGAAACACATTCTTCCCAAAAGCTACCAAAGAATACATCACCCCAAAATAGTTCTGTATATTTCACTTTTTTTCTTGAAATAACATTCATGAATCTGGTCCCCAAAAGACTGACCAAGAAAATTAGACATTGTTAGCATGAGGTTGCTATCTGTAGCTGGATTTTTGGCAAGTTTTGCTTCAAGTATTTAATAATGAGCAGTGCTGGTATTTGCTCCTGTACATTTCAGGGTCAATGTATTTTAAACTTCAATGTGTTACATTCTGAAAGTTTTAATTTTTAAAGTACAGGTTCTTTTTTGTTGGTGCTTTAAAATCAGGATTGTTCTGTTATTGGTGTTCCAAATTCTGTTCTGACCATAAATTCAGCTAAATTCAGTTCTTTAACAACCAAGGAACCTCAGTATATAACAGAAAACACTCTGAACAGCATTTAGATCTTCAAAACCCAAGGCAAACTGGGATCAAATGTAATGTTTTTCAAATAATGATGCTGACAGCAAGGCTGAAGATTTCCAGTAGATTGTGGGCAGAACGATGGAAGTTTATGGTTGGTATTGACTATTGCAGGACATCTTGAATGCCAATTTTCTTCAATTTTTGCCCCCCCAAAACAAAACTGATCCAAAACATGCCATTGCTGTAGCACCATCAATGAATACTATAATTTTTCACCAAACTCAGCTTATGTGATAACAGTTTCAAAAAAAATACTGTCTTTAGTGGTCAATTACGAGGCTTATGAAAACAGCACATCCATGGTTTTTAAAGCCTAATTGTGAAAATAAGCAAAGCACAATTTCCTTTGTCAGTAGATTCATCTCAACTAATAGCAAAGAAAGATGAGCTGATGTTTTTTAAAACCTGAAGAGTGATATGCTCAGGCATCAATTCCTTGTTAAAACTGCAGAAGTAAATGAAGAGATTCTGGGATTCCTCAATTTCCTCTTAAAGTTGTGACAGCACTTGGAATGTAAGGTTTCACAAGTTTCTCCATTTTTTTCTCCTTTGCAATTAAAAGGGCTATTTAACATTAAGCTTTCATGGCCTTTGAAGATTCCTGTTAATATTCCAATACAGTCCAATCTTAAAGCTGCAGAGGATTGTGCTCTGTAGAACACTGTTTTTAATGGCATAAATTTAACAGTGTTTGGCATGGTGTCACTGCCCAACACTCAAATAACTCAACTGGAGAAGTTGACCCTATCTTCTACATCAGAACGTGAATATATGCTTGGTAAAGACCTCAAAAAAAAATTGGCTGCCATCTTTAGCTATGTCAAAGGGAAAAACATAAACAAGGAATACTGATGATGGAAGCATCTGGTCCCTCTTGCAGAGCGATGAATGACTTTATAGGTGGCAGCTGGGTGGCAGGGCAATACAGGCATCCAGCTATGCCTGAGCCTCCATAGGTGAAATTCTTTGTTCATTTTCTTTTTATACACCCACCTGCCGCCTAAAATCTGACACCATTTAATGGTGCCGTTAGTCAAATCTAAGTGGTCTTACTTTCACAATCCTCTGATTCTAGCTTCAAGAGTCAAGACGAACTCTAACTCATGGAATGGACAAAAAGGAAGATGTAAATAAGTTTTCAGAGTTAAAAAGCCTCTTTTTATACAAAATTAAACTTTAAACTTTAAAAGAACATTGATTTTGGGGGGTGGGGGTGGGAAGAGATTAACCAAAGAACTTATATGCATATATGCATAACCCATGGACATAGATAATGGGTGAAGGTGGAGAGGGCAGGTGTAGGGGAGGAGGGGGATCATGAGGGGCAGGGGTAGAGGATATGTATCTAATACTTTCAACAAAAGAACATTGACCTCAAAACAATATAACTATCCTGGATATGCAATAGTATAAATGAACATCTATGGCTACCCAGCCTATTAAATACCTCATTAAGTAGTATAGGCCTAATCTGAAGGCTGCTTGCTCTACCCACTATAACCCATACCCTGAAATACTGATAGAAGTTGTGGAGGGAGGTGGGGGAATGCCTTTCTCTCCTATTCCTGAAAATCATTGATAAGTAACAACTCTATTCATAACACCTAAAACTAAAAAGCCTGACCACTCCAAAGTAGATAAAAAAAATGTGTTGAATTAATAGCTGATGAGAGAATTCATGTAACCAGAACTGTGAGATGGATAATGTACAATGTTAAATAAACCACTGTACAAAAATAGTTCCTTATACAGTGTTAACTATATAAGACTTTTACCGAAGCCAGTTTGGCTCAGTGGATAGAGCGTCGGCCTGTGGACTGAAGGGTCCCAGGTTCGATTCCGGTCAAGGGCATGTACCTGGGTTGTGGGCACATCCCCAGTGGGGGATGTGCAGGAGGCAGCTGATCGATGTTTCTGACTCTGTCTCTCTCCCTTCCTCTCTGTAAAAAATCAATAAAATATATATTTTTTAAAAAAGACTTTTGTTCAGTAAAATTCTAAATCATGCTACTGGAATGTGCATTCACCATTGAAAGCAAGTTACAAAACTATGAACTGTATAAAGAATAAAAGAATATGTCAGTTACTATCAATTTACACATAACTTACATAAACAAAAGATTTTTACCTTTTTTATTGTAATTCCTGTGTTTGGCAGTGCTATCTACCTAAGTTCTGGTGTGTATTTGAAAGTAAGCCCGGCCAGTGTGGCTCAGCAGTTGATCGTCAACCCCAGAACCAAGAGGTTGCTGTTTCAATTCCTAGTCAGGGCATATACCTGGGTTGTGGGCTTGATCTCCAGTATGTGGTGTGCAGGAGGCAGCTGATTGATGATTTTTCTCTCATCAATGATGTTTCTATCTATCCCTCGTCCTTCCTCTATTTCTAAAAATCAATAAAAACTTTTTTTTAATAAAAGTTTTATTTTAAAATATTCTATATTTCAAAAGGGGTTATCCCCAATTTCTTTAACTGGATTTGTTGTTTATAAATAATTTTCAGGTTTCAAATGAGTGTTATCTGACCTTCCCAGTTGAAGAGACCACCTCTTTTCTCTTGCTTAAACTGGCTTTTAATTAAAATTTCAGTTTCAAATCCTTTCCAGAAAAATTCTAGCAGAGGAATGTAAGGTTACCTCCTTTCCTCAGCTTCAGTGTATAGAACATAGTTCCTTCTGTAGGCAAATTTAGTTATTACCCTGGTGGAAAGTGGGTGCTTGGGTTTGTCCTTAAAGTCAGGTTAATATGGAATTAGCAGTGATTTGTAAAGATTTATCTTAACTGTGTACTTACCAATAGTTACTGTAAAGTGAGGGGGGGGCGTGATATCTAATATATGATGTTCTGCTTGTGTTTTGACTGCAACCCAGAGTAAGCAATACCTTTTACTCTGGACCAAGTATACACATGTGTATATATAATTTACAACTTTTATAAAACAACTAGAGGCCCAATGCATGAATTCATGCACGGGTGGGGTCCCTTGGCCTGGCTGGGGGTTGGGGCTGATCAGGGTCGTCTCACCCAGTCCCAGGCTGGCCAGTCGGAGGTGGGGAAGGGGGGGAGGGGCT